AATTTAGTCAATAATAATTTATCAGTATTAGCTCATCAACTTGTTCTGCTAATGCAGGATGTTAGTAATGGGGGGAAAAACTGAGGGAGGGAGGGGGCAGGTGGAAATTCTTTGTACTTTTTGCTCAATATTTTTGTAAATCTGAAACTGCTCAAAAAATAGTCTATTAATTAAAAAATAAATAAATGGATGAACAAATGAAGAATAAATGAATAATAAATATGTATAAAAGATAGCCATGGTGTCTTGAGCCAACTATTATCATTAATCCAGTTCTGCACATCTGAGAGTTATTAAAAAACAAACAAGTTAATCAAAGACAAATAGGTCCTGGACTAGAACCCAGACAAATCCAACATGATGAAATAAAAGTAAAGTCCTATGGTCTGTGCCCAGCTATCAACCTTATAAACAGAATGCAGAGATTAATAGGAATTCAGATAGGGCTAGGAGTTTCTGTTGGCTGTCAGCTCAAAAGGAAACAACAGTGTAATGCCATGTTCTTTTAAGACAACAAAAACATAATCTTAGGATATTTCAATAATATTATTACTAACTCAGGGTTTGAGATGGTGGACTGACCATTTTAATTTATTTTTAAAATGTCCCCTCGTTAACAAGAGTCCATTAAAATGCCAGTAAAGGAAATAAAAAGGTACAAACCCACAATAATGAAAAGGCTGGAAAGAAGGAGCATCAGCACATGTGAAATTTTAGCAATAGACCGATATGAAAGACAATTGACAATATGGTCCTCCTCAGTATCCTTAGAGGACTGGTTCCAGGATTCCTGCGGATAACAAGATTTGTGGATGCTCAAGTCCCTTATGTCCAATGGCGTAGGATTTTACATTTCGGCACATCCCCCCATATACTTTATAAATTTATTCATTTATTTATTTATTTTTGGCTGTGTTGGGTCTTCGTTTCTGTGCGAGGGCTTTCTCTAGTTGTGGCAAGTGGGGGCCACTCTTCATCGCGGTGCGCGGGCCTCTCACTGTCGCGGCCTCTCTTGCTGCGGAGCACAGGCTCCAGACGCGCAGGCTCAGTAGTTGTGGCTCACGGGCCCAGTTGCTCCGCGGCATGTGGGATCTTCCCGGACCAGGGCTTGAACCAGTGTCCGCTGCATTGGCAGGCAGACTCTCAACCACTGCGCCACCAGGGAAGCCCCCCCCCCATATACTTTAAATCATCTTTAGATTACTTATAATACCTAATACAATATAAATGCTATGTAAATAGCTGTCAGCAGGCAGCAAATTCAAGTTTTGCTTTTTGGAACTTTCTGGAATTTTTTTTGAATATTTTTGATCTGCAGTTGGTTGAGTCTTCAGGTGCAGAATTCACAGATACGGAGCAGCTGACTGTATTTATTAGATATGTGAATAACCCTTATTTAAAACATTTTTTAACTGTGGTAAAATATACATAACAAAATCTACCAACTTCATGATTTTGTGTTTTTTTGGCCACACCATGCTGTTTGCGTGATCTTAGTTCCCTGACCAGGGATTGAGCCCCCAACCTTGGCAGTGAAAGTGCAGAGTCCTAACCACTGGACGGCCAGGGAATTCCCCAGCTTCACAATTTTTTTTTTTCTTTTTTTTTTTTTGCTGTACTTGGGCCTCTCACTGCTGTGGCCTCTCCCGCTGCGGAGCACAGGCTCCGGACGCGCAGGCCCAGCAGCCATGGCTCATGGGCCCAGCCGCTCCGCGGCATGTGGGATCCTCCCGGACCGGGGCACGAACCCGCGTCCCCTGCATCGGCAGGCAGACTCTCAACCACTGCGCCACCAGGGAAGCCCTCACAATTTTTAAGTGTTCAGTTCAGTAGTGTTAATTATATTCACATTGTTGTGCAACCAATCTCCAGAACTTTTCTTCTTGCAAACCTGAAACACTATACTCAGTAAAACAACACATTTCCCCCTTCCCCAGCCCTTGGCAACCACCATTCTATTTTGCTTCCATGGATTTGACTACTCTAGGTAACTCATAGAGTGGAATCATACAGTATTTGTCTTTTTGTGTCTGGCTTATTTCACTAATCATAATGTCTTCAAGGTTCATCCATGTTGTAGCATGTGTCGAATTTCCTTCCTTTTTAAGGCTGATTAATATTTCATTGTACGTATATACCACTTCTTGTTTATCCATTCATCAGCTGATGGATATTTGGGTTGCTTCTACATTTTGCTTGTTGTGAATAATGCTGCTGTGAACACGGGTGTACAAATATCTTTTGGAGAGCCTACTTTCAATTCTTTTGGATATACAAAGAACTCCTATGACTCAATAATAAGACAAGCAATCCAATTTTTTAAAAGGGGGAAAGATTTGAATAGACATTTTACCAAAGAAGATACAAAGATCATGGCAAATACAAATACAGAAAGATCCTTAACAACATCAATGAACAGGAAAATTGAACTCAAACCCACAGTGATACTGCTATGAATCCACTGAAATGACTAAGTTTAAACTGACTGACCAAATCAATGCTGGTGAAGACATAGAGGAACTGGAATTCTCATACACTACTGGTGGGAATGTGAAATGATACCACTGTTTTGGAAAAATTTTGGCAGTTTAAAAAAATGTTAAACCTACATCTATCATGTGACCTGGCTATTCCACTCCTAGGTAAATACCTAAGAGAAATGAAAGTATACGTGCACACCTAGATTTGAACATGAATGTCCATACCAGCTTTATCTGTATAATAGTCAGTACCTAGAGACAACTCAAAGTCCATCAATAAGTAAATGAATAACCAAATTGTGGTACATCCATAAGATAATATTCTACTCAGCAATAAGAAGGAACAAATTACTGATGTGTGCAACAGTATATATTCACTGCAAAATAATTATGCCAAGTGAATGAAGCCAGACAAAAAGAATAGAATATGATTCCATTTATACAGAATTCTGGAAAATGCAAACTAAAGTGACAGAGGCAGATTATTTGGTGCCTGGGGGGTGTGGGGGAGGGGCAGTGCGGGGCAGAAGGGAGAGATTATAAAGGGCCATCAGGAAACTTCGGGGGTGATGAATATGTTGATTACCTTGATTGTAGTGACGTTGTCATAAATATATATATATTACATATATGACAAAACTCATCAAGTTGTATACTTTAAATATGCGCAGTTTATTGTATGTAATATTTCAATAAAGCTTACAAAAGCAAGCAGGAAGAGATTAGTTAAATAAATTTGAGTAGGGACTTCCCTGGTGGCGCAGTGATTAAGAATCTGCCTGCCAATGCAGGGGATGCAGGTTCGAGCCCTGGTCTGGGAAGATCCCACATGCCGCAGAGCAACTAAGCCCCTGAGCCACAACTACTGAGCCTGCGTTCTAGAGCCCAAAAGCCAGGACTACTGGAGCCCCCGCACCTAGAGCCTGTGCTCTGCAACAAGAGAAGCCACTGCAATGAGAAGCCCGTGCGCCGCAACGAAGAGTAGCCCCCACTTGACGCAACTAGAGAAAGCCCGCGCGCAGCAGTGAAGACCCAATGCAGCCAAAAAAAAAAAAAAAAACTTAAAAGTGATTAAAAACAATAAATTTGAGTAGACCCATAAGGAAAGAAATACTATGTAGCAATAAAAATTATGGAAAGATGTTTATGATAATTGTTGAAAGAAAAAAAAGCAGATTACAAAACAGTATATCCAGTATGGTCACTTTTTATTTTAGATAACCTGAATATCTACAGGATTCATCATTTGGTTACGAATAATGTCTCATTAAAATTAAACCACGCGGGCTTCCCTGGTGGCGAAGTGGTTAAGAATCTGCCTGCCAATGCAAGGGACATGGGTTCGAGCCCTGGCCTGGGAAGATCCCACATGCCGCGCAGCAACTAAGCCCGTGCACTACAATTACTGAGCCTGAGCTCTAGAGCCCGCAAGTCACAACTACTGAGACCATGTGCCACAACTACTGAAGCCTGCGTGCCTAGAGCCTGTGCTCCGAAACAAGAGAAGCCACGACAATGAGAGGCCCGCGCACTGCAACGAAGAGTAGCCCCCACTCACCGCAACTAAAGAAAGCTTGTGCACAGCAATGAAGACCCAACACAGACAAAAATTAAACCACGGTTTATGTCAGCCCAGAGCCATCCTGCCTGTGTGGGAATTCCCTTTCCCTGCAAAGTCCACCTGTCCCATACATTTCTGGGTGTTCCCTAATGTGTCTCACTGCACTTGGAAAGCAGTCTCGAAGTCATTTGCTGTTGTTGGCACCTGGGGCCCCTGCTGAGTTGAGGCTCCTGCATTAATGCCGCTAGCAGAGCCAGAGGTTGGCCTGTGTTATTGCCCAGGCTGCTGCCAAAGCCCCATGCATGGGGTGCCCACCATTCCTGTCCTGACACTCACACCTTAGGGTGCTCCAAGAGCAGAATGATGAGGAAAGTCCCCCATCTTGTTATCCAGCCAGGGGTCCCCACCAGAGGTCTGCTTGGGCCCCAGGTGTGGTGAGCTCAGCATGACAACTCTCTTTGTTGAGAGAGTCTGGGGCAGGGTGAGTTCAACCACCAGCCCCTGTGAGGTGTCTGGAATGACTGATCCCTCCCACTTTCTGGTCCTGGTGTGGACCAAGTTCCTCTTCCTGTGACAGTTGTCTTTCAGGGACCACCAGCATCCTCTGTCAGGTCTCTTCCAAGTCTGCCAATGAGCCTGTATCCCAAATGTGATTACTGACGGAGATTCTTCTAGGCGGCTCCTTCATGCCTGTGATCACATCATATATCACATCATATTATATAACATAACATATGTACTTACACATGGGGGAGGGGGAGGGGAGTCCCCATCTCTCCCTGTCAGCATATTTTCCTCTTTCAGCTCTAGTGTAGCTGGAAGCACATACCCGGAAAATACTAACAGTGATTCTCTCTGAGTGAAGAGATCATCGGTGGTATTCATTTTCTTTGCTCTCTTCTGAACTGTCCATTCTTATTTTTTTCTACCACTGTCCATAGGCCAGGGCCAGTGTGTCCTGCTCAAAACCTCATCCCAGCACCCAGCTCTGTGTTTGGCACACAACAGGTGCTCAATAAGGTGTGAACGACTAGCAGGTATTACTTTTCAAAACTGTGAGGGGCTGGTTTAGCAATGACAGGGAGACGGGTTTTGCACCCCGCCGCCCGCCTGGCTCCACCTCTAGCCTGTCAGGTCCCGCCACCGGCGTTTCCGCCTCTGCCGCCTCGCGGCGCGGAGTGTCTGGCGCCCGTCCTGCAGCCCTGGCGCTCTGCTCGGCGGCCCGGGGCCGCCTCACCCGCACTGGCGAGGGGAGGGGAGGGGACCAGACTCGTCTGGGAACTGGCCTGGGCCGCTCCTGCCTGGGCCTCTGCCCGCTTCCTGCGCCTCCCTCCAGCCTCCCGCAGCCTCCCCCATCAGGGTCTGCTCTGGGACCTCGGAGGCCCAGTCGCTGAGCCTCGCCCCACGGACCTGCTTCTCCGACGTCCCCAGCAGGCTCCCCGGCCGCGGCTCTGCGAGCTGTTGGGTCCTGAGCGCCCCACCACTTTGGTAAGACCCGTGCCGTCCGCAGGTCCGCCGCCACCTCCCCATCTCGGAAGGGCCCAATTCCTTGAGATCCTCCTGCTGCTGGCTCTGCCTCGACTCCAGCGCCCTCTCCAGGCAGATCTGCCTCTACCCCAGGGGCGGGCTCCGGGTAAGCCAGGTGGTGCCTGGCAGCGCTCTTGCGTGGGCAGGCTGGGGCATGAGGCATCCTGGGATTTGAGCTGGGATGGGCAGGCCTCTCACGAGGATGAGGAGGCTGGCCCTTGTCAGTGCCTAGGGCCACAAGACTCACAGTCCAGAGGGTGCAGCCAATGCTGACTCACTCAGGCCAGGCGTGGGGGTGGGGGGAGCACCAGCCCGTGGGTGAGCCACTCCCTGGCAAGGGTCCAATCCTGGAAGTCGGACTGGGTTCAGACCCGCAGCAGCTGGGCCAAGGAGGGGGTTCAGCTCCTGCAGGAGGAGGTGGTGAGAGAGAGAGGGAGAGCACACTCGGGCCGCTAGGCAGGAGAGAGTTCAGGGCTGACTGGGCAAGTCCAGTGCTCTGCTCACACATCCTGAATCTGGCCTCCACGACTTGTAGGCATTCCCTCCTCTCCATCCCCACCATGCTGTATCTTCTCCCCTCTGGACCATTCACTGGGCTTCTCACTGCTCTCCTTGCCCGGCTTCTCCATCAATGGCTGTGGTTCTAAGGGGGGGTCCTGGCCTTGAACCAACGATGAAGTCATCTCTACTTCCTCTCTTGCTGGTATCACTACCTACTTCCTTTGTTCCTCCCTTCTGCCCCCTCCCCATTTATCCCACAGCTTCCTTTATTCTGCCATGCCAAGCCCAAGGGGCCCCCCAGAAGGAGCTGAGAGTCTTAGCTTGGAGAAGAGGAGAGCATGACATTCTTTCATTCACTCATTTGATCATTCATTTACACATGGATTTACTTCCATTCAGTCACACATTCCCTTGTTCTTTCCCATTCCATTACTCACTCCCTCATTCTGTAGACGCTTACTGAGCATCTACTGTGTTCCAGTAACTGAGTGTTTGGTGGGAGAGGGGCAGGATGCTCTGAGGAACCAACACCATCCCTTCTACCTGCTTGTTCAAGGTCAAGAAGGAGAAATGGGCACAAGTCAGTCCAATTTAAGAGAAAAAGCAATGTGAGAGAGAAATAAAGAGCTGTGAACTGCGGCTGTGTGTTTATGTGTGGGGAATGAAGATACAGAGGAGGAGGATGTAATTTCCACTTAGGAGGAGCCCAGAAGACTTCCTGGAGGTGATGCCATTTGAGTCGGGCCTTGACTGGCGGGAGGGTTTGGATGTTGAGTTATTAGAGGGCATCAGAGTAGATGGAATAGCAGGAACAAGGGAAAATCCAGATGTGTGAGGGAACAGTGGGAAGCTTTGTTCATGACTTGAGAGGATTAGAAGAAATAAGTCTGGGACTTCCTGGCGATTCAGTGGTTCAGACTCCATGCTTCCACTGCAGGGGACTCGAGTTCGATCCCTGGTCACGGAGCTGAGATCCCACATGCTGTGTGGTGCAGCCAAAATTTTTTTTAAAAATTTTAAAGATTAAAAAAAAAGAAGAAGAGGGCTTCCCTGGTGGCGCAGTGGTTGAGAGTCCGCCTGCCAATGCAGGGGACACGGGTTCGTGCCCTGGTCCGGGAAGATCCCACATGCTGCGGAGCGGCTGGGCCCGTGAGCCATGGCCGCTGAGCCTGCGCGTCCGGAGCCTGTTGCTCCGCGACGGGAGAGGCCACAACAGTGAGAGGCCCGCGTACCACAAACAAACAAACAAAAAACAACAAAAAAAGAAGAAATATGAACAGGGAGACTAGGGCCAGTAGAGGACAGGCCATGTGCTCCCATGTTTCTGCCAGCTGTCACAGGCTAGGGGAGCAGCCTTGTTCTGGGTGACACAGAGCCTTGGTCATGAGGTAATGGCCTTATCCTCATGGCTAAGGATAATGGTAACGTCCTTGTGGATATTAGAGCTCTTTAATCGTCCAGGCAACCTTAGATGGAGTGAGATCTTCAATCTTAGAGGTGTGTAAATGGAGGCTGGGACACTTGGCATGTGTGTGGAGATGGGAGGGCTGCAGGTTCTGGCCCCTGGAGGGGTTCGGCTAGGGCAGTGCTGAAAGTGGGAGTTGGAGTGGATGATGTCAGAGGTCCCCTCCCACCTAGAGAGTCTGTGGTCCTATCTGGGAAGGCTAGAAGATCCAGCAGAGGGAATTCCTGGGAGTTTGGTCATTTATTCACTCATTTATTCCCTCATTTGCCCCTATACCCAATCATCCATTCATTCATTCATTCATCACTTAGTCACTAAACCCTTGGTCTGGGCAGATCCTGTGCTGAGGACTCAGATGAGGTCTCTGCCCCTGTGAGCTCCCAGTCTGATGGGGGAGCAGACCCGCACTTTACAGTGACAACCCAGTATCATTGTAGGAATGGAGATTGTTCTATTGTGTTTTGTCACTGAGTGGGAGGTAGAGCTGGGACATGGACCTGAAGAATTAATGCAGGTGTTTGTCCTTCAGCCAGGAAGGCCCCATCAGTGGGGCCAGATGAAGGATGTGATGTGGGAAAAGAAGTGTTTGAGGGAGAAAATACTCTGGGTTCATGGGGCTTAGGAGGCAATCTTCCTCCAGTCACGGGCCACTCGAGAACCAGGCCTTTGGGCTGAGGGCACCACAACCTCATCCCTCACCGGAAATGAGCCTGCTGGATTTGAGAACCTCTAGATAATTCCTTGGTCAGCATAAGCTGTAAGCAGGTTATGTAGAGTGGTGGTTAAGCTTCTGAGCTCTGGACCTAGATCAGAGTGCAAGTTGTGGTGCTAACTATTATCAAGTGTGTGACTTTGGACAGATGACTCTGCCTCTGTTCTTTCCTTTGCAGGAGAATATTAATCATAATATTGTCCTCTTAGAGTGAGGCCCAGAGATGGTAACAAACATGAAGTGCTTGCATAGTGCTGGGCAGGTGAGAAGGGCTATAATGACAGGGCTAAAATGACAATGATGACGATGACAGTGATGATGATGATGATGATAGTGATATACAGTATAGTGATATACTGTCAACTGCTGCCTTTAAAACCTCTGGGCCTCATTTTCCCCAGCTTAAAATGGGAGGACTGACCTAGCTCACTGGTTCTCAAAGTGTGGTCCCCGGACCAGCAGCATCAGTATCACTTGGGATCTTGTTGCAAATTCTTGGGCTCTACTGCAGCTCTGCTGGAGGTAGGTCCTAGAAATCTGTATTTTATTTTTTATTTATTTATTTTTGCGGTACGCGGGCCTCTCACTGTTGTGGCCTCTCCTGTTGCGGAGCACAGGCTCCGGACGCGCAGGCTCAGCGGCCATGGCTCACGGGCCCATCCGCTCCGCGGCATGCGGGATCTTCCTGGACCGGGCCACGAACCTGCGTCCCCTGCATCGGCAGGCGGATTCTCAACCACTGCGCCACCAGGGAAGCCCTAGAAATCTGTATTTTAATAAGCCCTCTGGGGACTTCCCTGTCAGTCCAGTGGTTAAGACTGCGCTTCCACCGCAGGGGGTGCTGGTTTGATGCCTGGTGAGGGAAGTAGGATTCCACATGCCTCTCGGAGTGGCCAAAAAAAAAGCCCTCTGGGTGATTCTGATGCAGGCTGAAGTTGGAGAACCATTGACTAGCTATCACTTAAGACCTCTTCTGGATTCGCCTTTCCAGGACTATGATTCATCAGGTGTGTTTCATGCCATCTGCATTTAGGGCCCTGGTCTGGGGGCTCGTGGTATAGGCACAGAGATGAGTAAGATGTGATATCAGCCGTCAGGGGGTCCCAAGTGAGTTGGAAAGGGCAGACAGACACCCTTGGAAATATTCATTGGAGTAACAGACCAAACAGAGCTGCTAAAGAGACACAAGAGTCAATTCTGTAATAAATAGCAAAGGGGAGGGAGACCTTTGTGGGCTGGAGGGGCCTCTGCAGAAAGATCTAGTTCCTGATAGTATCTTGATTCAGCCTTGCTGGAAGTCTTCTCATAAGTCTAACTGAATGATGTCTTTCATATTTTATGCCTTGTTGTGGTGTGGCGTGGACAGGACTCTAGACAACTTCCTTGCTCTATGACTTTGGTTGGCTCACTTTTCATCCCTGTGTCTCGATGTGTTCATCTGTAAGACGGGGACACGAGATTGAGTCCGGTGAGTCTGAGTCCAGACAGCTCTGGAGAGAGGGTAGGGTTGGGGACCAGAAGCTCTCTGGGTTTCTATCCTCTCATCTGCATAGTGAAGACCCTGAAATGGTCCTGACTGTGTGCCTTACCCGGTGAGATTGGGGATCCAGTGAGTTGAGCTCTCCCCTTTCTAGGCCAGTTTTCTTACCTGTCCAGAAAGGTCTCATGACACCTGTCCTCTTCACCTCACATGACTTTTATCACACTGAGCGTGTTCTTCAACCTCAGAGGCTCCTTGATGCCGAAACCTTGCTGCCTGGCATTCAAGGTCCTCCACGATAGACTCCCAGCTTTTTCCTGCAAGATGAGGGCCCTCACTGCCTATGACTGCATCCTGTTCTGTTCCCATTAGGCCTCCCACCTCACCCCTCTTGTCAGCCTATTCAGTCTTCAGTCTGGCTCTGGCACTACCTCCTCCACAGAGCCTCCCAGCTTGCCCCAGTCCTCAGTGCCATCCTTGGATCATCTTGCCACTTTTAAGGCGTGACTTTAATTTTGCATTTGTAGACACTGAAGTACTGACAGACCATAAACTCTTTGAAGGTAAGGCCTGAGCTCACAGTGATGGACATTACAGTCCTTGACTCCTAGAACAGGGCGGCCCAGAGAGAGGAGAAAACTTGCCCAAAGTCACATAGCACATTAGTAAAAGAAACAGGCCCAGAAACCAGTTGTCTTAGGCCCAAGAGGAGACATTATTAGGGATGTGGTGAGTGGACTAGAGGGGCAGAGGAAAGGGCAGAGACCTCAGAATTGGACTGACCTCTGTTCCAGCACAGCTCT